ATATGGGTAGACCTGTATTATCAAATTAGAATGAGCTAAAAATATTTCTGTCTCGATTCCTGATTTGAAGTAACTTTGAAAGTGTTGATTTCAATCATACCTGGAATAACTGCAAAACTTTCACCTCACTCCCCTTTTATAGGCAGAAGTCCACAACTGCATGCTGGGATATTTTTTCTTGGTCAATAAAATAGGTTGATTTACAATTTGACTTGATACAGTCCAGATCTGCTGAGTCAGGCAATTTGCTGCCAGGCTCATAGCTGGTTTATCAAACTCTCTGCCTTTAGGCAGAGAGTAACCCAGATGAGGCTATGCGGAAGGGCAGAGCCACATTTGGGGAGATAGACAAACCTGACTCAGTGTATGCAGTGTCTATGGGGAATTTTTGCCTGAGCTATGGGCTTGGAATAACCCACATAAAAGACAACCTTGTACCATGTCCTGCCTTGCTAGGGAGGCTAAGGTAAATAACCTCAGTCCAGATCTGCCTTCTAGTAGACACTATGTTCATTTGTCTGACCTTGCTTTTGTGCGTAGTTGTACTTTTTGCTTTCTTACCTGTAAATTTGCTTTGCATATATTGTTTGCTTGCTTGATATTATTTCATTTTTGCCCCGTCTTTTTTTTTCTTTTTATTATAAACTTTGTTAATTCTGTTTGTTGGACTGTTTTGTTATTTTTTTTTTTTATTTGACCATGGCTACTAACTCAAAGATTTTCAAATGGATTACTTTATTTAATCTACGAGAGTAGATTGTTCTCATACTACTGTCCATTGCCTTGGGATCTCTCATCTTGTTTTTATTTAGTATTACTCACTTGTTGCTCATCTTGTTTCCACTGAATCTAAGTCTGTACTAACCAACTCACAATTACCTTGTTACCAAATTCACAAACCAACACTTTAATTCACTAGGCTATTGTCCCTGAAGAAAGCTGGAGAACACAATGGCTGAAACATTGTGATAACAACAACAATGATGAGGACATTTGCCTGAATATAAATATTTGGTTGCCCTTATTTTTTTGAAGGAAAATGAAATGCAACATTTGGGTACAACTTGTATGTGTAAATAAAAAAAAAAAATGTATTGAATATATGACTGAAATGAGGTAACCTGATGAAAATTCTATAAATTCCTGAAGACCAAAATTGACATTTTAAAATTTTACCTCATTACCAACTACTAATTTTAAGAAAAATTAATTGTAGAAAAAGAATTATGGCCTAATTATAAAAACCAGAGATTTTTGGAAGGCAAAGAAAAAAAAAAATAGTTGGACTTGGATCATATTACCAAGAAAATGTCAAAGATCCAAATAATTTGAAATAGTATTCAAGTTTCATTGGCTTTTGTGCTCTAGTCTCTGGCATATATGTGTATATATATATATATATATATATATATATATATATATATATATATATATATATATATATATATATATATATATGTATATTAGTGTGATTGAAATTCAAGTAAAATGAATGTTGAAAAGTTCCCAGCCAGACCAAAATTTTGAAAATAGCAATGGATCAAGAACTTTTCAACACCTGTTTATGTATTGGAGTTTGCTTGGCCTGGATTTTACTTCAAAGTATGTTAAGGTTCCTTTGTAAAACTTGTTTAATTTTATCATATTCACTGTTTTTTTTTATCTATTGTATTTCCTCTTTTGCTTACTTCATATGAAAAATTGTTTTTTTTTTTTTTTTGTTTGTTTGTTTTTTTTTTGGTGGGGTGATTGTTTTTTTACTAAATGTTCTCTCAATACAAGTCCCAAGAGCCACTCAAGCTAGAGGATTACTGAATACTGAATGAGGTGGTTGTATGGACATAAATGGGATTAAGTGCAGATTATGAAGATATGTAGGATAAATAAAGTTTGACCCTAGACTTGAAGAGGTTAATATTATAGTGGTCAGAGAAGCATCCTCTCAGGAATCTGTTTCACAAAGTAATGTCTTAGTTTAACTTCCTTAACAATTCTAACAATCTAAAAAAGATATTGTCTGAATTTAAATAACCTGCAAATGGTTGATGAGTGATAGAAAATAAATCAATCAATTAAAAACTCTGTTGGCCTGAGATATTGACCAATCCAGTGAAATTCCTTTATAAGCCTAATGGTGCAGTTACAAAGTGAAATATACAATTAAGGTGGTGGTTGACAGCACTTTTCCTTTTGTTTAATCATTCCATCCATCATAAGCAAAGCAATAAAGCCACTAAGATGCAATGGGTTACTGAGTGAAAAGATATGAAAAAGAAAAACATTAAGGAGAGAGAGAGAGGACAATAAAAAAAAAAAAAAATTGATAAGACAGAAGATAACAATTGACATATATGGAATGTGACTCCAAATCTTGGCCCACTTCTTTATTTCCTGTTTAGTCTGACTCTTGTAATCATATAGAATTTAACAGGTTTCCAATGATATGGAATGTGAATATAAATCTCCAGTAAGAGACTTGATTTACCTTCCTATATATCAGTATTTGTTACATTTCGCTCACCTAACAGTTGTAGAATGTAAAAAACAACCTCTCTTATGTCATTAAATGAAAAGTAACAAAGGTATGATAAAAGGTAAACAATTCTTTGTGCATTATCAATTTGTAATTTTATAATATTCATGTCATAAGGAATATGGTGATTATTAATGTTACAAATGATATTCAAATAATTTCATTACTGCCAGACACAGAGGAGGCACAGTGTAGTTATGGATAGTGGCTCGGATTGAGGAATCAGAGAGCCTAGTTCAAATTCCAGTAAAATCCATTACATTCACTTACGTGCTAATACCCTTGGGAAAGGTATGAATCCTCCTCTTCTCCCCACAGCTATGGGTAAATAGCAGGACAGACCAGGTTCTATAGCCTCGGATGGCAACTAGTCTACTGCAAAAAGAAATGGCAACCTACTGTGGGAGGGGGGGAGACTATGATCACCTAAGCGTATATCACACATGGCACATGACTGACTGCCAGACAATCAAACAGTATTCTTGTTTGGCACTCACAGACCCTGATACTAAATTTGCTAAACCAAACAGTTTTGATACAAAATAAATCTTAATAACTCTTGTTTTTGTGGTGGCTCATAAGCATTTTAGTCATAATAATCTTCATCAACCACATTATTATTATTATTATTTGTTGTATCCTTAAAGAGGTTACAAACAGACAAAGGTGGTACTCGAGTGAAGGGAACAGCAACACAGGCACAGATAAAAGAAAGAGAGGTTTATTGTAAAAGAAAATACACTACTGAAAGACAGGGAATCAGTTAGCAGGCTAGTAATTCTCGGGTATATCCTGTGCACACTATATATATTTATTGATGGGCACCTCGAGGCAGTGTAATGGTTAAGGAGCTTGTCTCGCTAGAACAATTATGACTGAGTAGTGAGTTCCATGCTCACTAGGTACCTCCTACTTTCAGCCTTCTGCCACATCTAAGCTACACATGGAAAATCACTATATATATTTACTCATATAGTCAGTCCACAATAGGTAATAGGGAGAGTGGGACATTCTATTACAACATTATTATTATTCTTTTATCTTTATTTATTTTTGCTTTTGCCTCTTCACACTGGAAATATTTGATGGTTATCACAGGAAAATGAGTAACTGTAAGTATCCTCACATCACCAGCATTCCCCCTTAATAATTTCTGTTTGAATTTCTGGAATGAGAAGTTATTATCATCACAATGTTTTGGCCGATGTGCTCTCTGGCCTTCTTCAGGTGTCTGTCAGTCCAAGTAACCTTCAGAGAATTTCAAAATGAACACTTTATTTAATCTATGGAGATGGACTGTCCTCATTCCATTTTTCCATATCTAGAGATTTTTCAAGCAGTATTGCTCAGTTATTGCTTGCCTCTTTTCACCTGAATCAATCTATACCACCTGTCCTAGGAATTGAACTCGCTCACAATCACTGTGCTCCCAAATTCACAAACCAGTGTTTTAATCCACTAGGCTATTGTTCTATGGAAAGCAAGAAGGGCAATAATCAAACGGTGCTAAATAAAAACAAGAACATAAATCTCTAAACTTGGGCAGCAGAACGAGAACAATTTAGACCTATAGATGAAATAAAAGGTTATGTTTTAAATTCCTTGATGGTTATCCATATTAACAGACAGACAGAAGAAGACCAGAAGGCATGACAGCTGAAACATTTTAATAATAACAATAAAGAAGTTAAGTTAATGATTTTTTTCTGATGATCCACAGTGTGTCCTGAGTCCAATCTACAGTGTTGGCAAAAACTTCAAAATAATTTATTGCCATTATGATAAAAATCATCATGGAATGCTGGCTCTTCAGCTCTGTATTTTGCTAAAAGTGTGCACCCAGCAAGTTTGCTAGCTTTTGGTTTACACATTGTGAAAGATAATCAAACTGGCATTTAAAAATCTAATCTAATCTAATTACTAAACAAACAACTTTTAATTTTACTACTCTTGAAGGCACATGCCACACTATTCATATGCTAATATCTCACGTGGGTATTTGCCCTGTGGTGACCAGTTTGGCCAGGTTAATATCATGAATTAGGTACTGGAAAATACCCCACGTTATTTATAGAATGACGTTGCAGCAATATAGTTTGTAGTGCTTGTGCATAAGTGACTGACTTTGCTGTGTAAATTTATGCAAAATAATGATTCTGTCAAGTTCCAACTCAGGAATTTTATGTTTTAGCATCAGAATATTTTATTTTTTGGTAGCAAAAATCCTGTTTTCCGTGATTTTCCTTTTTTTTTTTTTTTTTTTTTTTTTTTTATTTCCATGCTTTTTTTCTGTTTTATGTATCACAGAGAATTTGTCACCCTATAATAGACATTCATGCTTGTTTTAAAATTTTAATAAAGGCTAAAGTGATGTTTACTCTCAGATTCATAAAATAGATGGAAATAAATCAGAAATTTGGTTTTTATTTCTCACATTCTAATGATTTCTCTTTAATGTATTTTTCAGAATCCCAATGTCTCTGAAAAATCTTGGTCTTTTCCTGGCAATAGCCATGGTTCTGGTTGCTTATTGGCTCCATGAACCCATCCCTGATGGAGTGAAGGAGAAAAGCGAATTGAGGATTACCATTGCTTATCTCAAATTTATCCGATTTATGGTGAGTACTTAAATGATTTGTTAAATAAAATAGTTTTGAATATTCTATAAAAGATTTCTCATATTGTTAAACTATAACAAGTAAAGAAACTGTATGTATGCCTATAAAATTGAGGATTTTCACTTTAATAAAAAGTGATGAAGTTAAAATTCATATTGTTTTGTAAGCAAACTTCATGGCCTGCCAGCATGCCAAATCATTTTATAGTTTGAATTTAAAGAGTAATAATATCAAATACTGTATAATGGCAAACCCATAGCCAAACCCTCCTCCTGTTGATATATGTCAGAGCCTAGTTAGAAGAATGTTAACATTTCCATCAAGTTATCTATTGGGATGTTAGTGTATAATGATTCCAATCGCAAACCAATAGTTTCATCAAAGAATCCCACCATATCCTCCTTTCAGATAAAGTTCCATAAAGTTTCTGATATATGTCCATCAGAATCTACTCAGTGGGTGGCATTCCAAGCCTGGCTAGTTATAAAATACCTAAAAATATATATTGTGGCATGTTAAAGTTGAGTCATTTCCATCCCTATATTGTTATTTAGGATCTGTGATTTACTTCTCGGATGTTTTTTTATATTACTATAGCTTCTCTAGGCAAATTTGAGATTATTTCAATTTGTCCATCACCACAGTATGATTCATGTTTGAATATTGTTGACACATTTGATCTGGTGCTCCTGCTATGTATTTAGAGAAACTCTTGATAAAATCCAATGAAGAATCTGCAATGTTATTGGTTTTGATCTGGCATCTCAGTCAGTTTCCCACCACCATAACATAGCTTCCCTGTGACTATTCTGTAAATATTTTCATGGTAACTGTTCTGATGAATTTCACTCTTTGGTACCTAGACTTTATGAATTTAAACATAGTACTAGATTGGTGGCAAGGTCTCCTCATTTTACAGTTAAAATGGCTAGTTGTAACCATAAGTACTATGTTAATAGTTTCTTTTTTAGCACTAATCACATGCAGAATGCTCTTCTGGCTTGTTTCCCAGTCAACTTTGATATTCAAAATTTAAGTGGAATGTCAATTGTAGTCTTCTGTTTTCTTAATTCCTGTTCTTTTATTGTTCTCTCTCCTTAATAGTGTTTTCTTTTCTTCTCATGTTCTCTTACATCTTAGTGGCTTTGTTGCCTTGCTTGGGGTGAAATGATTAAAAGTTAAGTATCATAATAGTAGTGCCCCTCTATAGGGTTTTAATTGACAACTTTTCCTCCCTTGTGATGTCAGATTTGGCCTTTTCTAGTGCTTGTCTCACTTTCTATCTTAGCTCATTTACTTGGGTCTTAGGGATCTTCAAGGTAACTTTTTCAACTGGAGCTATCATATGGGACATGCCTGATGGTTGTGACAAAGTTAAGACCTTTGTTTAGCACTAATTCCTCAGAGGCACCTATAGAGGGGCTTATTTTCTGTGAAAGCGGAAAAACGGAATGGCCTACTTGAAATTGAAAATATGAAATGGACATTTTCTTTTTACTATACAATCGGATTTGCCAACTGCCATTTTTATTTGTTACTATGTTTGCCTTTCCTAAATCTCCCCCCCCCCGAGAGACATCAAATGTTTTAATATGTTCCCCTTACCTACTGTCTCTACAGTTTTATAGTATTTATTTAGGAACCAAGTTTTATGAAGTTTGGTTGATTTTAATAAAAAAAAATAATGGGAAGTGTGGTGGAAAAACAAAAATTTTGTCTCTTTATTTTGTCCTTTCTTTTTCCTATCACACATGGTGACAGAGTTGAGGGCAGTTTGTCATTTCAGAAAGCCAAATTTCACAAATTAGACTTTTTTGAAAGACGAGATGCTTGTTTTACATCGACATCCAGTTTGTGCGTTTGAGTTAAATATTTAATTTTGTTAGAGTTGAGTAAAAACGCACACAAACCTTTTCCAAAAAATCAAAATCATTTTTTTTTTAAATTACCTATTAGCTACTCTGTTAAAAAAACATTTTGGTTGTAGAGATCTATTAATAAAAGGGCATATTTTAACAATACTGTAGAGGGTCTGTTTGTTGGAGTAACCTCTCTAATTTATATTTACGCAAAATACCACAAAATATGAAACAATAAGGAACACAAAACGGTTTTTATAACAAGATTTATATTTATGTATGTAATGATATACAAAAATAGGGGTTACTTCCCTTTGACTGGAATTAAAGTCTCTTTATGAAGGAAATATTTTTCCTGAACTCATAAAAAGTTGATTGCACTTGTTGCTCAAAATGTTCACTGTGAGAGAGTTGAAATAATTTTGTAAAGCTGAAAATATGTTGACAAACTTTTAACTTCAGAAGAGTTGAAGGAGTGAATGTTCCGTTATGTTTAATTAATTTACGTTGGTTGTAGTTGAATATTCATAATATGTTGATGCTTGTAATGTTCGTAATTAAGTTTCCATATGTATGTGTATGTGTGCTTGTGTGAATAAGTTTTTGTAGGGTCCACCCATAAGGAGTCGAGACATGATTTCTTAAACAGCTACATTTTAATAGACAAGAGAAATCAAAAAGTGAGGAGAGAAAGAACGAACTTGTGTTTGGTATTTATAATCAACATAATCACATGATAGGCTCCAGGAAGGCATAGACAGAATTTGGCGGAATTGTTTTTTTGTCAGGTCAGGAACTAGGTCAATATTATTCAGACATAGTTGAGAACATGATTTAAATATTAACTGACCAATGAGATGTGATAAAAATATCTAGGCTCTGTGATCCACTTTTTGCACAGAATTACAATTTGTGCAATTCTGTGCGAAAATTGACATGAGAGAAAAGTGGTAGCAGAATGCTAAAAGACCATTTTTGTTAAAGTATTGAAAGGAATGTGGTACTATTCCTAGTGCTAAAAGTATTAGGCAATTATATCTACCAAAATTGTTTGTCGTTTTGCTGCCCTAAAATCAAAGCTTGCCAACAAAACCATAAATATCATAGTAGACCATAGCATTTTGAATGTGATTGCAAGCATTCAAAGAGATTCTTTTCTCATCAAATTTGTCATGAAAGAAAGCAATCATCAAACTGTAGGTCAGGCTTGCATCCAAGGTGTAGGTCAGGCTTGCATCCAAGCTGTTAGTCATGTTGATATTTCATTTGATGATATTATTGCATTTGTAACTGTTTCAGAAGCATACTGTAAAAAGGTGCATAGGAATGTTTTATCCAATATATTTGTAAACAGTCATCATGTCTTGTGTTTAACACACATTTTACATCTTGTTGGTAAGGTATTCTCTCACTGGCCACACTTTGATAATGTTGCTCAGCTCAATACTTTCATAAGTCAGATTTTTTTTTAAAAAAACCTGGACAAAAAGAGCAGTATCTGAAATGGCTTGAAGCCTACTTGCCTAAGCACCTAGTGAAGCAACCCAATAGAATTCATGTTTCAATTCAGCAAAGTATCACTCTTCATATATTCAATTTTATGAAGTATTCTTCAAACAAGAAAAAAGCAACAGCTTCTTGTGGGCCGGTGTATGTGTTGAGAGGCACACATGTGTCTCCTGAAATGACCACAACAAATATGGCAGAGTCAGGATGTGAGTCCACACAAATGAAAAGAAACAACAAAAACCAATATATATGTACAAGTAAATGATAATGTATTAACAAAGGTATACAAGCAACAAGGCAATAATGTGTGTAACAAATGAATGTGTGTAACAAATGAATGTGTGTACATACATGTGTGTGTGTGTGTGTGTCTATATATGTATTGTTCAAGTATTCCCCAAAGAGAACATGTTCTTTGCAAGAAGTTACATGTCGGTGGATAAGATCAGAAAAGAAGATCAAGAATAGATATTGCCAAGTATTTATAGTCCAAAGAGCGTCCCTTAATAGTGGTTTCGAAAATTAGAAAGTAACCTGACAAGCTTGGCAATAGACAAAATTTTGGAATTAGTAAAGGATTGTAAACTGCACCATGCTATAATTTACATCTCAACCAGCATTTCATCAATGAGAACTGCAATCATTTAATAAAAGCTTTGACAAGTTTAGAGGAAACCAAGTTACCACTTGCATGTATTGTGTACAACCTAATGGAAGATTTAAAGCATTAACTTGATAGTTTTGGGTTGAAAGCAATATTTGGTCTATAAACTTCCAGTCTTGTTTGAACTGGAAAGCATAGAGAGGAATAAGGTTACATCAAATTTGCAGGATGTATTCAGTACAACACTTTCAAAGGTGCAAAAATGCTTGAATACTTAACCAGTGTATGAGTTTTACAAATTATCTCATCTATTCAATAATCAACAGCTATCATGTATTCGCCATGAGACTGGCAGTTTTGCAGCTATCAAATATTTACAAGATCCATCCAACTCTTTGAAAATAGGAGTTGACATGCCGTTAAATCCAACATCCATCCATCCAACTCTTTGAAGAATTTCAAATGTATATAAACAATAAAGATGACCTACTAAATTCCTTCAGCATTCTGGTATTTTAGAGTGCCAATAAGAGCAGATTTCCCATTCTGTCACAGATTGCTACCAAAGTTATATGGATGCCTGTTAATAGTGTAGATATTGAATGTTCATTTTCTTAATACAAACATTTGCTCTGTGACAGATGTGAACGTCTAATTCCAGAAAATACAAAACAGCCCATCCTGGGTATGACGATAAACTACATCCGCGTCCTGGGTAAGACAATAAACTATGTCCAACAGCAAAGCCTCTGATCAGGAGGTTTTGAGGTGCATGGAACCACCTCTTAACTGCTGGTGTTCCCAGGTCCACCCTGACCCGGGGTGGTAGCACCTGTTAGGGTCCCAGCTATGGGCAAATAGTTAACCCCCAAACTATGAAAGTGTAAAAATAGGTTTTAATACCAGAAATACTTTGAAAAAGTTATTACCAGCAATAAGTTTCTGAAGAAAAAAATTATTACCATCAATACATTTTCGAAAAAAGATATTACCAGCTATACTTTTTTGGAAAAAAAAATTACCAGAGATAGATTTTTGTTTATTACCAGTAATACATTTGATTTTTTTTTTTTTTTTTTTTTTTTTTTTAAAAAAAAGAAATATTACCACTAATAAAAATCTTAGTCAACATTAAATAACCCATTGAGGTTGATATGACGTAAAATTAAAACAAAACAGCTTAGGATGTTGAGATTTGGAGAAAGGATTTGAAACCTTGCTGATTTCTTAGTTTGATGTGATTTTATTTTTTCAGACAGTAAATCAATAATTTTAATTTATATAATTACCTCTACAGGCCTAAATTTTGGGTATGAAAAAAAAAATATTTGAGTAATTGATACTTTTACTTAAAAAAAATGTTTGAGCTTATTAATATATTTTTACATCAAGTTAGATTAAGAGCTGAAGTATAAGGTTCAAAACCCTATCAAGCTGGAGCAACTAATTTCAATGGGTGGATGTTCCAGCTAGTAAAATGTTTCATTTTCCTTTTATTTTCTTATTTTAATAACATTTATATATTGTTACACTTTCTCACTAAGTATTATAATGAAACAAAAACAGAATTCTATACTGAAAACGGAAAAAAATGGAATTCCCTAAAACCTGAAATAAGAAATCAGTCCCTCTACACTTAGCTGAAATGTGATAATCAAAACAAAAATGAGGACAATAGTCAATGCAAATAATAAAGTGACTAGCTTAAAATAATACAGGGTGTCCCCCCCCAAAATTGACATCATTTAAAAATATGAATATCTGAGTAACTACATGTTACAGGCAAACAAAATTAAATCTGTTTGATGTTAATCTATAAAAGATTTATTTATCAAAATTCAAACAAGATATTCAAAGGGATGGAGATTTTATAACCAATTTCACAAAGTTTCACAAATGTTTAATATGCACATCACCTGTGACACGACACATGTCAAGTCTGTAGTCCAGCTCCTGCCAAACACACTATAGCATGTCTTGTGTAACATTCTCCAGTGTCTCATTAATTTACTGCTTAAGTTCCTCTAGACTTGTAGCAAGATGGGGGGATATAGACTTATCCTTTCACATAACCCAATAGAAAAAAAAAATCACAAGGTGTCAAGTCAGATGAACATGGTGGCCATTTCAAGAGCACATTGTCATGCCCGATCGTGGTGGTCATTTCAAAAACACATTGGCATACCTGATCCATCCTCCTGGTAGAATCTCAGAGAGATAAGTCCACATGGTCAACTTAGTTTTTATACATTTCAGCAAGAATTGGCTATGTTACTAGACTACAAAATAATGTCAATTTTGGGGGGGGGGGTTGATTTGATTTGGTTTGTTGTATGGCATATCAACACCTCAATGGGTTATTTAATGCCAACAAGATTTTTAGGATAGGTTTGTATGAATAGAATATGTATTCTTTGTAAGAAATCAGTTTGTAGATCAGGTTTCATTGATGTATTTTTGTAAAGAGGGTTTTTGTAAAGAGTCAAATGTATTATTAGTAATTTTTTTTTTTTCAAAAATGTATTGCTAATATTTTTACTATAAAAAAATCTATTTTTATACTTTCATAAGGTTTTGACCCCAGTTTGGGGTTAACTATTTACCCATACCTGGGACCCTAACATTTGCTGCCACTCTGATCCAGAGTGGAACAGCAGCAATTAAGAGGTAGTTCCATGCTCCTCAAAACCTTCTGATCACAGGCCTTGTTGCTAGATGTAGTTTATCATCATACCCAAGACCCATTCCTTAAATTTTTTAAAATACTTTTTGGCATACTCTGTACATTCAAAACTCAGACTGTAGTAACCAAGTTGATAAACATGCTTCCATTTTTCTGTATGTACATTTGTTTTAAAAATAATGTTGTTTCATTTGAAAATGGATTCCCATCTTTTTGCATCTGTATTATTTTCTTTTTGGCAAGAACTTTACCAATCAGGGTTAAATTGAAAAGAATATTTTAATGACTTTATCAGTTCTTTAAATAAAGAATTCTTGGGAGAAAGGATTTAATAATTTGCTGCTAAAATGGAATAAAGGCTAGGAGGGGAGGATATTTTCACTGAATGTTTCCTAGAAACTTCTTACATTTACTCAGCTTAATTTTATACTGATGATTAACCTGATTAATATCTGCTCAATCAGCTAAGTAACAAATTTTATATTTGTATTAATCCTGATTAATAAATTAGTTTCTTACTTTTTATTCTTAATATATTAACTTTATGGCAATGTTTATCCTTTGTGTCTGCAAAAGGATGGTTATTCCCTTGACACTGCTATTACTGTATACACTTTTGACTCTCTCAGCAATGTTGCTTGTTTTTAAAAAGCAATGATTAGAATTTTAATAAAGCCCCAAACATATAAAAACGGAATATTTTTTTAATCATTTCACCCCAAGCAAGGACAATAAAAGAACAGAGTTCAGGAAGACAGAAGATGGCGATTGATGTTACATTTAAATTTTTGAAGGTTGTAGGTGGCAGGGAAGCAAAAAAATTAGAAGGGAGTTCCACAGACAAGAAGTGTGAGAAAAGAAACTATTAGAATAGAATAGAACTGCTGGTTGCATCTAGCTAGTTCAACAGTAAACAATAAAACCTGGTTGCCAGTTAGTAGCATATTTAAATTCATGCAGATTAGGCACCAAAGAGAAAAACTCATCAGAACAATTGCTATGAAAATACTTGTAGAAAAGACCATGTAGGAAGCCATGTCACATTGGTGGGAAAGTGACTGAAGTTGAGATGCCAGGTCATGATTGATTGCATTACAAACCTTTCTTTGAATCTATACATTTTCATTATTTTTTAGAATTTACAACAAAGATATTAAATACTATTTATTTATTAGATTGAATAAAAAAAACTTGTTTCCAAACTTATTTATAAAATGGTAAATAATGAATATTGTAGTTGGTTTACATATATTGATAATTTTGTAAATTTTTTTAATAAAAAGATTTCTTTTTAAAATTTATTTCTAAAATGGTAAATAAATTTTTATAAAAGGCAAAGAATAAATATCGCATTGTACTTGATTCACATATTTTTATGATCTTGTAAATAAACATGCAGTAATAATTGATGTTAAGGGGAATAACTGTCTTTTTGATACTTTTTTTTTTTTTTTTTTTTTTTTTTTTTTTTTTTTTTTAGGGCGGGCTGTTGACAACTTATATTATGCTTATATAATATAATAATTATATTAAGTTTTCCTTTTTATCCTTACAGAAGTAGTTACTGAAAAGTTCTCAGCCTGACCCACTTCCTACAACCTAACTAAATTTTGCAAGGAATCACTTCTTGGTCAGGCTGATAACTTTTCAGTATTTCCTCATATGCTTATTGTGATTTGAATGAATAAAAGGAAGAAGTATTGCTCACCTTGATACCAACTGAGAAAACTAAGTAAATGAGGCAGAGATTTTTTTTATAGACAAAGACCAGTGCATTATGGGTAACAAACATGTATATATAAGTGGGAATTCAATGCTGTTCGGGCTGCTGTGTGTGTGTGTGTGTGTTATTGGAATTCTACTATGATTACTAGAGTTGAAAAGAGGAGGAAAAGAAAGAGAGGTAGAAATTGAAAAAAAATGACTCCCTAAAGAACAATCAAGAATTGTTAAACAGGAAGTTAAACTTTACAGCCACAAATATTAATTCCTCTTTTGCATTTCTGATACAGCGATTGGTGAGCATGAACAAAATTCTTTTGAGGTTTTTTTTTTTTGTTTTTATTTTTTTCTAATTGATTGAATCAAACTTATTAATAAACAAGTTGAAAAACAAAAAAAAAATGCATTTGTTTTTCCTTTTTTCAAATCCACTATTTTTGTTATTTCAGACAACAGTGTCTTGGATGACTGGGATTTATTCTCCAATTAATACCTTTAGGTTTTGGCTTAAAATGACTATAATTCAAATGCCAAACGATGGAGCAGTAGAGGTTAGTGTTTTTTCTATTATTGTTATCTTCATTACAATAATTTTTTATAGTTTTAAATAATTAATCACGTATCAATAAGATGTTCTTGTTCTATCCTTGTATCTATATGGATAAATATTTTACATATGGTTACTTACACATGTGTGCATGAGTATGTTTGCTGTCATGTTAAAGTAGTTTTCTGCATCTACAAGACAGATCTGAAAAGTTCTCAGCCCATCTTTGGATAGATTTTGGGAAGTGGTCAGGCCAAGAACTTCTGAGAAACCTTCATATTTTTCTAAACATTTTTCTGTTATATTATAATTTTTTTTATTCTGATTATTTGCATTTTGTTAAACTTTCATAAAGTATTAATTTTGGTTCCAATGTGCAAAGAATGACGGCTAAAAATCCCCCCCCCACACACACACAAAAAAAACCCAAAATTATAGGTAAATCCTATAGATGCATGCTAGGAGTTCTTCCTAACCAAAAAATGGATCACTTCTCATTCATCATTTTTTTGTTCTTTCTTGTCTTGAAAACAGAACACTATAACCACTTGACTGTATCCCTTTTGCATGTGAACACAATTCTTACTTTGTGAACTTTGTGTTTTATTACTGTTACTTTGCCTAGTTTTATATATATATATATATATATATATATATATATATTAATTTAAATAGAAAACAGACAGCCTTAACGGTCCATTGGTTATAATTTATTTCCCCAGGTGTATGATTTTTACCTGGTTCATCAGACTGCACTTCCAAGGGTGAAAAAAATATTTTAAATTTACATATAGTTTTTACACACTTTTAAGGGGTAGTTTTAAGTTGATATAATGTGATATAGGGAGAAGAGGAGTATGACAGACATGGTCGAAATTAGAGAGGGAAGGGAGAAATAGGAATAATTTTAAGTCTATTTTTATTAAGAAATTTAAGATTAAGAGAGGTGGGGGTTGAACCACACATTGACCTATTTAATGTTGTCTCATGAACCAGGTAAAAATCACACACCTGGGGAAATAAATTATAACCAATGGACCATTAAGGTTGTCTGTTTCCTATTTAAATTAATAATTGATTTGACATTGAGCTCTCTGGATTACATCCTCCTTGGGATTATCCATACAGATTACCAAATTTTTCATTACTTATATATATATATATATATATATATATATATATATATAAATTTTGTTTGCTTAGTATTATTTTGCCCTGTTCTTTTTCTTCCTTTTCTTATTGTTTGAGAACTTTTCAGTTCCATTTGTTAAGCATTTTGCAAGCTATAGCCAATTACTTCACAGGTTATGAGCCCAGGCACAGGCTCTGTTTCAATTGTGATGAATCCAGATATGAATTATTAGAAGTAAAATTTTTAGGATGCATAGAATTAAAAAAAGATTACACAATGATCTTGGCACCATATGATTGTCTTGGTGACAAAGAATACTGTCAAAAGAATGCACATTGAATTTCTTAATGAGCAAAGTCTCTCTTGTTATAGAGAAGCCCCTGACTATGGTAGAAAAGCTTGGCAAATTTTGAAAGAACACTACTTCATTCATTTATTTAGTTAATGCATTTTGAGCCACTGTGGTCACCACTCCCCTCCACTTCACAATTGTAGTTCATGGTGACATTCAAGATAGAATAGTGAAAGAACTTATGGATTCCTTTTGCATGTTAAGGTTACCTCATCCCTCCTCTCAGAGGTGGATTTATTTTTGAAGTTACCTTCTTCTAGCTTTTGCCTAAAAAGGTAGGACCTACAAGGCAGCATGTGGTTTGAATTCAGTTTCCTTCTCCTAGACTGTTTGCCACACAAGGTTATAGGACCAAATCTGTCCTGCTATTTACCAATAGTTGGAATGGAAAAGAGATGAATTTATACCTTTCTCAAAAGTATTAGCATGTAAGTAAATGTAATGAACTCAACCGGAATTCAAACTCTACTCTCCAATTCCTCAATCCGAGCCACTAGCCATTACTCCACCATGCCTCCTACACTACTTATCAAAAGGAAAACTGAAAATAATCTCCCTCCATATTGAATTAATATCTTTATGAAAAGCAAGTGGCAAACGTATTACAAATATTATTAGAGCTGAAAATGCTGCAACTTAATTAAAAGTATCAGAATTGGTAAGCAATAACTCTCTAATAGACATGAGCCTGAAAGGACTTCTGTTTATATTTAAACCATTCACAACTGTTATTTACTCAGAAAGACAAAATAGTAACATTCAGTGAATTTAAAGTAGCATTATGAAGCTTCAAATAAATGGAAAAGATGATTAAACAGAGAATAACAGTGAGAATGTTTTAATGGTCCTTAAAATGCAAAGATCAAAACCAAAGTCACAATGTCTCGACTTGTTTTACATGTAGTAAAGCATTGACTGCCAAATTAAAAATCCTGATTTCCAGTAAATAATTCTCTCACAAAACGACATGATTCCAATTCTGGACATAAAAGTACCAAAATACAAAAGCAAGAAGGACTATTTCTTAAATGTTGAACATTTTTCAGAAAATGAAAATTCATTTTTATTTTCAATTGGATTAGACACCATTCTTACAAGAAATGGTTAATTTGTTGATTTCGGAGCCATGACTCTTCTTATTACCGATGAATCTAAATTTATTACTTTCCATAATTGATGTAATGAAATAACATGTCACCCTATGAGTAACTACACTATAGGTATCAGTAAGTCAACAAACTATGGCGTCTAGCTGTGATCTGTTCCAGCTAAACAGTCGAACTCTCTGCCTTCAGGCAGAGAGGAACCCGGACAAAGCTCTGCCGAAGGGCCGTTTTGTTCAGGGAGGTAGACTGCCCCTGAACCCATTTATACGGGTTCAAAAGGGAATATTTTTGGAGAATCCACGTTAAACCGGCCTTGTGCCACATGCAACCCTCGTGGGGGGTGTAGCTAAATATACTAACTGGAATCTGTTGAGTACGACTCAGACTTACATGAGAACTACCGATCTTCAAATAGTAGCACTCACTACTGGATTGACTTGCAATGACCTTGCGCATAACTGTTACCTTTTATTCTTATTGTACTGGTTATTATAATAAACCTTTACTTATTTATCCACCATGTTTGCCAAGTATATATTCCTATTAGCATGAAATATAACAGTAATGATTTTAATCCAGAAAATCACCATATTGAACTGGCTTATGGAAGTAGAAAAAGTAATATTGCCTTATAAAGAAGTAATGCTCATGTTACTTTACCTAACACGTCAGGAAATATGCAAAATTATATTTTAAATGATACCCTTTATATCCCTAAATTTAAAAATATATATATACGTTCTCTGTACAAACTGTTACCAAAAAAGGGGTAAAATTTGGCCATAATTACTCAAAACTTGTTTTTCTTAATGGTGTAAAATTCAACGTAAAAAGAGATGGTCGCTTGTACTAAATACTGCAATAACTTCAAAAACTACTAGGCATAGCCTACAACAATAACTGCATCAAATTTTTAAACATTTTAAAACAAGACATTGTAAAGCCATGAAAATTACTGAAAAGTTAAATCTAAATAAGTGAGATATGTACCAATGGTACAACATAAAAATAAATTACCCAACAAACCAGCTAATGAAATATTAGACCTTGTTCATTGTAATCTAACTGGCTCGATTGAGCATATATCTTTAAATGGTTTCAAATATTTAGTTTGATTTGTCAGTGACTATTCTGGTCTAATCATGGTTTATTTTCTTAAAATACGTTCTTAGCTACAAAAAAAATATTTGGCAAACATTGTTCTGTATGGTTCTGTAAAATACCTAAGAAGTGATAACTGCACAGAATTTACTTCTGAAAATTTTGAAATCCTTCTAATGAATAATGATATTAAACACAAGAAATCAAACCCATATTCTCCACACCAAAATGGTACTGCAGGAAGATCTTGGTGATCCTTATTTGAAATGGAAAGATATCTACTAATTGTTTAAAAACTACCAAAATTCTTATGGTCCTATGCTATTATAATAACTGCCTAGATAAGAAATCTGTTATAGTCAAAGAACTGGAAAAACTGTCTTCGAAATGTTTATGGATTACAATGCTAACCTTAGTAATATGCATATCTTAAGCACAGTATTTTGGTTATTGCCATTGTAATCAAAACATCCTTAACCACAATCTTTATTGATGGTAGGAAGTGCTGCCTGGGGGAAAAGGTCTTCAGGAACCAGTTTCTGTATTATTATTATTATTATTGATTTCTTGTCATGATAATTCAACACCTAGTCAGTGTTTATGTTGTGTAGGAACCTACCACCCCTCTTGAAGATGAACTCGTCTAAAAACAAGGACGTTAAAGAGTGGCATGTAAAAAGACAGTGTCGGAGAAGTTCTGGGCTGAGTTAGTTATAGACTACTCAGGCGATTTCTGTACCAACTTACCAACCGAATAAACCCCATTTTATTGTTACATGTTATTTGGTGTTTGTCTTTATTAACCCCAAATAAACATCATAACAGTTTATGAAACAGATTTATAATTTATTCAGGTTATTTTCTGGATTTTTTTTATTTTTTATCTACAGATTTTATCTTGATACTCTTAGTAATAAAGGCTTCCATGGAAATTATATTTGTATTAGGAGGTCAGGAAAGTAATTAGGTTTTACCAGGAAGACTATAAAAACAAATTTAAGTTAGGTTTTTTAAATATTATGGTGTTTGGATAGTAATTGTTTTACCAGATAAGATATAAAAACAAATTTATTCAAATACTATAAAAAATGTAATCACCTTCATTTTCAACAACTGCAACTCAACAGGAATGTAATCTTTTGACTTTAAATAATCAGGGTTATTATGTAAGAAAGAAATATTCCCTGTCTACATTTCCCCATTATAGTCATTATTATATCGATAATATAGTAACACCTTTTACTACATAGATGGAACAGAATAGCCAAAAGAAAAAGTAATGACAAACATGCTTTGTTCTCAGATTTTTATACTGCTAAATCGTATACAAAATTATATACAAATACTTACTCATCCCACACAGAAACGGTATAATACATCTACACAACAACAAGCAGTTTTAAAATACTAAGAGACATAGGGTCTTACTTGTAATAATTCCCAATTGAAATTCGAGCTGCCATAGAATTCTATGTTTCTCGAGGAATCATATTGTTTCCAACAGGAAAATGGTGAAGCTATGTGGTGCAGCCTTATTTATATTTCTCAACATGAATTTGCATGAGCCAGATTTATCTTCTATGTCTCAAGTGAGATTATATTCCCTAATGGGAAACTGTGAGCTGGAGATAGTTTCTATATTTCCCAAAAGGGAGGTAGGGTTTGCTTACATGGCAGTTGGCCTGGGCAGGTCAGTTTCAGCCTTGTCTGTACTAAAAAAAAAAAAAAAAAAGCAGCTGCTCATCGTGATTTCAGGCTGCTAACTAATGACTGGACTGGTTTTTGTCACTATATGAATTGCTGTCACTCAGCAGCTGTCACATGACCTTTGTGAGTTCATCTCAACCAAAGAAGGATAATCACATTTTGCATCTCTACAAACATTTAAAATGTGAAATCAAAAATCGGCCTTTCTGTTGAACTGCAAATCTGGGTTTTGTTCTTCAAAATGTTTGAAAGACTGACAACAAAGATGTTAAACATTCTCAAAAAATACATAAATCAAGTTTCATGTGTTTCGGCTTTATTAAAATTTTAAAAATATCTTTGAAAATAATAAAATTGCAGAGAGAGAAAGAGTAAACAGTAAAGAAGTGCCAAGAAAAAAAACATCCTTTTGACACAGCATTTTTTTTGGTGGGGTGGTGTGGGGAGGGTAACATACGTTAAACTTTGCCCACATTTTCAACTAACTTCATTAAAAAAAAAGATTGATTTTTATTGCATTATAACGGTCATCTGTCAGTTGACTATTCTTATTACCATCAATCCTCACCGTTTTGTCATCCAGATTGATGCAAAAGAGAGACTTTCTTATATTTCATTTACTTATTTATGTAATATTTCTTTTAGATGTTTTTCTTTTTTCTTTATTCAGGTTATAGATGATAACTTTAGTGGTGTACCTGTTCGGATATTCCGGCCAATGCAAAATAGTGAAGCAGCTCCCAAAGAACTTCCTGGTTTGGTGTTTATCCATGGAGTGGGTCTTGCACTTATGGACACTGGTCAGTTAGTCTCTGATGAAAATAAGTTTTCTGTTCAGTCAAGTGAATCAAAAAATAACTTAAATAAAAAATCTGTTAACCTGAGTCTTGAACTTGTCACAAATAAATCAAATATTAACCTTCATATAAATTAATTACCTTGATATAAATGGAAGAACTCTGAAAATAAGTTTTGATTAGTCTATCCTTTAGCTTACTTGCATGTTATCACAACAATCAGCCCATTTTTATAGCTCAGGAATTAAATAGCATCAAACAAAATTTTAACTTTATCCCACATCCTTGAAAGTCTGTCTAACATTGAAAATATATTTCTTAGGATTACAGAATCCAATTGGCAAACATCATTCAAATTTAGTCATATGACTATATAGTTCCTTATCCTTTACATAGCATTTGTTGACACCTTGTAATAGTAGATGTAATAGTTTTAAGTTTCATGTATTTCTTAAATGAGGCATTGTCATTATTTGACTAGTTTTTCCTTCATTTCCACTAACAAAATAATTTTTTCTTTCATCTAACTCATTCAATAAGGATAATGAGACATCGAAGAAATCCTTAATACTACTATAACTACTATAAAAATAGAGCCTGGAGTAAGACTGAATTAAAAAAATATTTCTGTTTAATAATCCAACATAATTTAGTTATTTCTATCTGCTATAATTTTATATTAATATTCATACAAATTTAACCAAATTGTTTTTTTACTTTAGAAACTTAAATTGAAGTAATGCCTCTTCATTATGAATGAGATATGGTTTACCAAATCTGTAAATTTACACATGAATTCACCACACATGCACAGATATACAGTGATGTGCCAAAAGTTGTGGGTTAGCAGTATGGCTAGCACATGAAACCATGAACATTTCACATTTTTAACTGTTAATAACATAAATATTATACTGGGTATTTCTCAGTTTTCTACCTTCTTGAAAACAACTAATGAAAGCTGAAAGCATTCAGAGTATTACACATAATTTCAGCAAGTTGCTTTACAAGTTTATAATCTGATAGCAAATGACTCACCAGATGCTTAACAGACATTCCCTGTCTATTATATTTAATAGAAGGATTACTGCCTAAATAAACTACATTTAAAGTGTGTGTGAGTGTAAAGTAAGTAAAATGCTACCAAAACTTTGAGTAATTTGACATAAAAGAAAGTAACTGACCTGAAAACTTAATTTCCACAATATTACTTCAAAGAGTACCATGCAAACTACATGTTCGAGTAATACTCAAACTCCCATTTTGCATTTGGCTCCTCCATATGCATTTAAAATTCTATAAACATATACGTTATATATATATATATATATATATAAATATATATAAATGATAGAGTAGATAAGTTGGTCAATAAAACAAAGTCAAATGAAAGGGTACCGATGTAATCAGTACAAAAAACATTTATAAATATTAACCAGATGACAAAAATGAAGCACGGAGATTGAGGTTCCAAGTTTGGAATTTTCGAACACGCCTGTGTTCTTCATCAACGGATGTGAAAAAATAAACAGTGGAGATTATCCAACATTAGTTCTTGATGCTGAGTAGAGATTTGCTTGTAGGTGGAATTGTTAATAAAAATCCATTCCTTGTTAAATTTCTTGCTGTGTGAAACTTTTTGTGAAAATAACCTTAGATTTAAAACTTTTGATTGGTGGTGGGTGGAAGGGGAGTGAGATGTTGAACATAAAGGAAAAAGGGTTATAGGACCAGCGGTGAGGATGGTGAGAGATTTTGTTTGTTAGGATAAAGTGTGGGAATATAGTGAAAGAGGCAATACAAATAAAATAAAAAAAATAAAAAAATTAAAAAAAAGAGGAAAGAAATAGCACAAAAAAAAGGGGATAAAGAATTCTTTTAGGAAAATCATTTTTTGAAAATGGGGGTGGTGCAGAAAAAATAAACTGAAATAAAAAAAATAACAAAATACTAAAAATAAAGATAATGATAATATGAAAAGTGGGGAAAATCATACAAAAATAGACGTATTGTGTATCGAGATAGGATCAGAGTGTAAAAAAGTTAATAAAAATAAAATAAGAGAAAAAAAAAGAGAAGAAATAGTACAAAAAAAAGGGATAAAGTATTCTTTTGGAAAATCACTGTCAGAAAATTGGGGTGGGGTGCAGAAAAATAAACTGAAATAAAAAATATAATAATGAAAATTTTAAAAAAATGGAGTGGGGAAGAAAACATACAAAATTAGATGTTGTGAACATGAGTGTATCTAACAGTGTGTGTATATATATATACTAGTTACCACAATCCTTTAGGGACAATAACTAGTTGTTTGCAAGTGGTGAGGAAGAGAATGTCCGATCTTGTTTGTGTAAGTCTATTTAAATTATATCCATGTTGTCTTCTAGTATTGAGCATTTGTTGTCAAGGTGAAGCAAGTTCCTTTAGGTTATTTTCATTGTCTTTTAATCAGGATTTGAGTGTTGTCAAGGTAAGGTCCAACCTTAATCTCTGTGCTTCATTTTTGTCATGTGGTTAATATTAAATGTTTTTCATACTGATTACATCGGTACCCTTTCGTTTGACTTTGTTTTATTGACTAACTTATCTACTCTATTATATAAACTATATGAAGCAGATGTGGACTCTTTTTTTTTTTTTTCTAATCATGTATTTTGAACCTCACCTTATATTTATATGATAAAAGTATAGTTTTATGGTATATATACTATATTTATGGCTGTCAGAAATAGACTGTAAATATAAAATGGACACTGAAGTCCATGAAGATTGCATTCAAGCATGAAACAGACTGTCACTACATAGTGTTGATCTCAGTGTCCACATACATATATATCTGTGTGTGTATCTATCATATATATTTTTTAAACTGCAAATTATTTGGCCTTACTAACCAGATGTTTCTTCTGTAGCTAAATGGTGTAGCATGTCAGACTGTTTAATGGTTCCCTGTTGGATACAGGTTCATTTCCTGTTGAAACACACACACACACACACACACACACACACACAGTGCGATTGATAAATTGTCGTCTAAATTATGCAAAAACCGAAAATCTGATATTTAATTTTAACAGATATATTTACCAAAATTACACAAAAATATCTTGAACTAAAGAGTATATTTATTCGATAAAATCGCCATTGGCTTCAACCCCGGCCTCCAGACAACTTCGGAATCTCCTGCATCTCTTATTGATGGTCTCCTTGTTTAAGTTGGTGAATACTGCCATAATCCTTACCTTCAGTTCATCTTTGCTGTTACAAGGAGTTTTGTTGATCTTTCGCTTAACTGCGCTCCACACATAATAATCAAGGGGTTTGCAGTCTGAGGAGTTAGGTGGCCAGATGTAAGGAGTGATGTGTTGGCAGAAATTGTCTGACAGCCATGACTGGGTTCTCTTTGTGTGGTATGGTGCAGAGTCCTGTTGCCAGACATAGGGTCTTCCATCAGCCACACTCTTGACCCAGGGAAGCACTACTGCTGCAAGCCACTTGATGTAGGCCTCCATGTTAAGTTTGGGGCCCTCTCCAAAAAATTCAGGAGTTCTTTTATCAGAATGATCAAAGTGGGTTTTCCAAGCTGCTGTACCTTCATAATCACCATTAAACTCCTCCAACTCTTTCCGAATCTTCTGCACTGATTCTCAAATACTCTGAAATGTTCGTATTGAAGCTTCCGGTGTGAATGCCAATCATTACAGCATGCTGTTTCCAAATTTCTGGCAGAGTGAATTGCATCTTGATGCTCTTTTTCTCCCAGACAGTGCCCAATTGACCCTACTATACTGTGCAGTCGACAAAATCAAAAACGAACAATGTGCATCTGGGAAATAAAAAAATATAAAATGAGAATTTGCCCATAGCACCATATATATATATATATATATATATATATATATATATATATATATATATATATATATATATATACACAAAAATATTACAAATGAATAATTGCATTATTTACACATAGACTATTGTCCTCATCTTTCTTGCCACAAATGTTTTGGACAATGTGCCCACCACTCTTCATCAGGTTGATTGGGGAAACTTTCAGGGAATATAGAACTGAACCCTTTATTTAAAATGGTAAATTGTTCTCATTCTACTGACCATGTCTAGAGAAATATTGTCTTGTTTATTTTTGCTCATTTATTGCTTGCCCCCATTTCCACTGAGTCAAAGTACACACTGCCCTGCCCAGGGATTGAACTCACAATTACTATATTACTAAATTCACAAACTAATGCTTTAATCTGCTAGGCTTTGTCCCATGGAACAATTCTCAATGGAGAACTTTAAGCTTCAAACCTAACCTGCCTGCTGTTTCTACTTGTCACACTTATAATTCATAAGTGCTTGGGTTAGTACCTAATGAAGGCTGAACGGCAGAACAGCTGAAATGGTGCAATAACAACAAAGAGGTTGGTAATAGTCTGAATGTAAATAATTCCTCATCTCTGAAATTCAGACGGAAACACCTATTAAAATAAAATAAATTACTAGAATTTTACTTTTTGTTTAGAAAGTGCTCAATAAGTAACTAGAGTGACAATAATGAATAAATTAATAAAAGTCTAACTGACTTATGAGTAACATCAAAGTTTCACAGACACACCATTCATCAGGGTCAGATAAATATTAACATTAATGACAGTTGGTGGTGTGCTTTCAATTGTACAGAAACAAAAGATTTTTAGTGCTATTTTCTCTTGAACAATTATTACAAATAAGAAATTGTGTTATTTGATAGTTAAAACTATAAGTAGGTCTATATTTCTTTATATAAAATACAACAGTGTCAGTTTAAATGAAAATCAGTTTCAAACACATGGCCTTGTGAACAAAAGTGAGGCTTGAATCCAGTGACTTGACCCAAAGAGTTGTTGGTTCAATACCTGGCTACAGCTGAGGTGAACAAAAACTTGGAGAGTTAAAGGGAGATAACTAATACTGAGACATCCGGAAGAGGCAGCGCACGTGGAAATAAAACAATTTAGACAAAGGATTCCGTTTGAAATTCCGATTACCTGCAGAAGGCTGGAACGTACAATGGCCAACACATTGTGAATATGGAAACAAAGACGAGGGCAACAGTTCAAACAATGTGAATAGTGAGAATAAGTACAATACCCAGTAATATAAACACAAAATTATTTTTTAATAAATCTTACAATTTTATGATTGAGGGTTGTTGAAGTATGTGTAATTAAACAACTTTATAAAAATTTTTACTCATTAGATTAAAAAAATTAATTAATAATTTGTGATGAACAGATTTGTAACCTATCAGCATCTGATTAAAATAGCATTTTTTTAATGGTTTTATGTTCATTTACATTATCAAAAGAATCTGGTACACATTTATAAGTCTACCATTTGTTCATACATTTAATATTGCTGTCACATCTTGTCTGATGTTTCTGCTATATATTTAGATTTTTCATAAAATCCAAAGTATCTGCAATGTTATCAATCCAGACTTAGCATCTCAGCTTTAGTCAATTTTTCACTAATGTAGCATAGCTTCCCTGTGACTATTATATAAATATTTTCATGGTAATTGTTCTGATGAACTTTCTCTTTGGTACCTAGACTTTATGAATTTAAGCAAAGCACTAGATTGGCAACAAAGTCTCATCATTTTAGAATTGAAATGGCTAGATGTAACCATAAATTCTAAACATAGTTTCTTTCACACTTCTCACTTATTGTACTCTCTTCTGGCTTCTTTTTTCCCAGTCAAATTTGATCTTCAAAAATTTAAATGCAATATCAATCGTTATTTTCTGTCTTAATTCCTGTTCTTTTATTGTTCTCTTTCCTTAATAATGTTTCTGTTATTTTTTTTTATATTATTTCACATTCAGTAACCCCCTTGCATCTTAGTGACTTTATCACCTTGCTTGGAGTGAAATGATTAAAAAAAAATGAATTTTGTTAATGGGAAAAACGTAGAAAGAAAGATAACTCTGAGTAAGATTTAAATCCAATATGGAGTTTATCATTTAATGGCTTCAGGTATGTTCTCTCTTTCTTATTTGATTACCCAATCTGCTCTGCATTTTATAAATTCATTTCTTTCTATATTTCAGATACTTACCACTCGGTCTCTCAGTCTATTACCAAAGAAACAGGATTTGTTGTAGTTTCTGTTGAGTAAGTGTCCTCTTTACATAAATAAGAAACTTTCATTTTTGTTATTTAAACAAGTAATGAAAATATATATTCTTTACCATCCAAGGACTATCAGTGCATTGTCATTTGTAATGCTTAAAATATAAATATTTTAAATATGATTCTTTCTGGAGTCATAATTCACAATTTAATGCAAAATTTCCGATTGGCAACTAATTATATACAGTTTTTTTCTTTTTTTTTTTTATTCAATTAAATTATCATTCATTAGCTTTTATTAATAAAGAAAATATGCTTGATTGACATTAATGACACCATATGTAACAGGTTATGGAACAACTAATGATTTCCTGTCAGTGGCAGTAATAGAAAAATATAACTCGCTATTTTATGGTTGATATCAAACCTCATTTTATTTGGATATTGAAATGAGACAGAAAGGGAGGTAAACAAATATAATAATGTTGTTACATTGACTAATAAAAACCAGGCTGAATCTTTTTATATTTAACATTTTTTTTATTCAACTCCATACTTTATCAGATGATGTTGGCCAGTGTGCTGGGAGAGATTCTTTCTCCACTCTGGGATGGGTGTTTATATATCTGTGATCGGGCACTTTCCTACACATGTGAAGCTATGCCAATCATATAGGTGATTATCTGTCAGGTAAACTGTGCACTAGGCTTTTCTGAAGGATGCTGACTGCTAATTTCTATTTTGGCATGATCTGGGGTGAGGTACATTCTACAAAGAGAAAAGACTTCCTTATTTCAAAACATTTGACCACTTGAAACTGTGGGTTATAGTCACTGTCCATCATCAAAGCATTGAGTTTCAAAATGCAGAGAAGAACCAGAATGCATATGCTTAGGTAAATGCTAATTGCTTTTTATGTTTTTCCTAGCCAAATCTGCATCAGCATTAAGGGACTTCTCATTCACTTTCCATGCCAAGGGGAGATAACTCATATCGGTTAATAGTCATCAGTCTTATCTTTGTAAAGCCATAAACCTAATGTCTGTACTCAGATGGTAATATTTTTTGAGTGTCCTTTCTGTCTAAATATTAAATATCTCCTAAATATTACATAGTGGAATAAGAATTCTCTGCCCCTTGATTGATTAAAGTGTTTGCTTCAGAATTCTGAGGAGTTTACTGAGTATGACAAGATACTGTTGCAGAATGTGAAGGCCAGGTCCAGAATAGTCAGCAATTGACTAGCGTACCTCATGAGCAAGGTTTTCTCACAGTGATGGATTGCTTTTGTTTGGGTTTTTAATATAAGTCAAAAACAGCTCAAATTCAACAGAGGGTTGCAAGAATTCTGAAGTGTCAATATGCCTCCCACACCCAGGTTGAGAGACTGGCTAAGACCACCCATAGAGGGGCAACAAGCCAATGTGTGACATGTGTCCCTGTGATATCAATCCTCCTATACTGTCTCTTAGAATTCAAGCTGCTACCACTCTCTCCTAATAAAACAAATGACAAAAAGAAATGGTCCTTTTTGTTCATAGTGTTTTATGTAGTAGCATGGGAATCCAGAGACAACACAGAATACAACAATACCTGAAGAAGACTAAGGACTACATTGGCCAAAACGTTGTGATTATAACAGTCAAGATGACTACACTGGTCAGAATAGAAAAACATATAATAAGGATAATTTCTTTTCTCAGAAATTCTGACCTAAAAGGATACACAGCATTTGAATTGTGTTTTTTTTTTAAAAGGCTATAAATATAAAGGCCAAAAATTGCTCTAAATAAACTCAGCTACAGAAGTGCATGAAGCATAATGCTTATTACATTTGTTTTCACACAGATATCCTTGGAAAAGTATGATTAAACCTATTCCCCCAGCTAAGGGTTAATAGCAATGTAAACTTAGCTCTTTAGTCTTGGTTGGGAACTAATCTAGAAGAAAGAAAGTTCTAAATCCTAAACTAGTTTGGTGTGGGGTTAGCAATGCCATAAAAACTTACTTGCTATAGAAGCCGCAGCAGCATTGCTAAGCATAGTGAGGCTGTAACCCTATAAGCCACAGGCCTGTAGACACCTGTACATATACAAACCAATATACAAGATGATGTTGAAAATTATTTGACCAAACATCAAAATCTATTTTGGAATCTGTTCTTTTCTAAGCCAAGAACTTTTCTGCATATGATCATTGCAATACCTCGATTTTCTAAAAAGCACATACAAGAATATATTTTAAAAATGACTACTACTATTGAATTAATATTGGCAGTGAATACCAACATTAGTTCAAAGTGGTGTTCACATGTTTTTTAATGACTTTGTTCCTATTAATAGGATTTACTTATATTATTGCTATATATTTTTTTTCTCTTCGGGCTTCTTACTTCCCCGTCAACTTTGATTTTAAAAAATTTAAATTCAGTGTCAATCATTATCTTCTGTTTTCTTAATTCCTGTTCTTTTATTCTTTCAGTTTAATAATGTTTTTTTTTTTCTCGTATTCTCTCACACTCGGTAACCCTTATGTCTTAGTGGCTTTGTTGCCTTGCTTGGGTAAAATGATTAAAAAATATATATATTTAATAATAGTTTTACAAAAGCAATAACTGCTTAGTATTGTCCTTTTTTAGAGGATGAAATTAATTTTGAAATGCTTGTTTGTATATAAGTGATCCATAATTAACAATGCTTACAGCGACATCATGTTGAAACACCGCTTCACATACTATCACCAAAGTTAAGCAACATTGAGTCTGACCAATGCCTAGATGGGTGACTACTTGGGAATACCAGTTGCTGTAAGCCTGGATGTAATCAGTTTGTGTAATGGATAAAGGCTTGTAATTGTTAATTTGAGAGCCAAGTTCCAATTCCATTTTTTTTTTTTTTTTTTTTTTTTTTCAGTAAGGGGGCACTCAAGGTAGAGGATTATGTTAAGGATTAGTTTATATGTATAGGAGGGGAAGATAACAGTTAACTCTAGACTTGAGTAGGTTAAGATTGTAGTGATTGGGGGAAACATCTTCATGGTTTTCAGGAAGAAGCTGTTTCAATAGAACTTAGTAATCACTGATGGAATATGGAGGGAATGTGAGTGGGGTTTGCTACTATGTAAGTGGCATGGCAAGTCCTAGCTATAAAGGTCAGACCCGGTGGAACCAGATGCAGTTTGTCTAAGCACTTTCCTTGGTAGTAGCAATAGAGCAGTGAGAAACTCGTCACATCCTGTCTATGAGAGAAAAGGTTGGAGTGTGGAAAAATGATTCTTCTCCAAAAAGGAATTGGAGAATCTTTTGAACTCTATCAAACCTTGAAAGTGAGTACTCTATTTTTGACCTGATCTAGCTCTTATAAAAGCAGCAGATAGCATGAGGTATCTGGTAATTACTGGAGTGGTACAGGGAGCCAATCATTTTACCTGCATCTTTGGCAATGGATCACATATAGGAGTTCCACTTGAGGTCAGGTGTGAGTTTGAGGCCCAATATCCTCTTAAGACATGGAGCCTCCTTGAGAAGCTATCTGTTCATTGTGACTGGTGATAGTTTGATCAGCAGTGATTGAATGTCACCAGTTTGGTTTTAGATCCAGCCATATTTTTTTTTCTCCTCTGGAAAGTTAATGTTAGATCAGAAGACGGGTTAGCTGCCAATCTCTGATCATCAAGAGTTGTATTTGTTATATTCACATGTGCAAATGCCCTTGGGGATGGTATGAATCCACTTCTCCCACAGCTATGGGTTAATTAGCAAGACTTATATCACTAAAATCATTATCTCAAAAAAATTTCTTGCACTCTAAAAATATTTTCTGGCTTTGAATAACCTGAAAAATGTTGATAAACCATGAAAACATATGAATCAATCAAGTATTTAACAAACAAAATTGATTTTCTTAATATTTAAATGTTTATTCATATTATCCCCAAAATATTTTCTGAAGATTCTGCAAATAAACATTGAAATATTACAAATCAGTTTGATCCTCAAAGTACAGTCATATTTTTTAAAATGTCTTTTTTTTTTCTTTTTTTTTTTTTAAATGCCTTGAGTGAGTTCTGTTCTCTGCATTTGCCAAAGCAAAAAGTATCTTAATCATGTCACTCTTTTATTCTATATGAAAGTTTATATTTATTTTCTGCTTACTATTTTTCCATCTCTTTTTCTTTGAACAGCTTCCGTCGAGCTCCAGAATACAAGTTTCCAATTCCATTTGATGATTGTTTGACTGCTACTGTCCATCTTCTTCGTCACGGTGCAGAATATGGAGTTGACATTAATCGAATTGCTGTTGCTGGTCAGTAATTTTTAAAACCTGTTTCTTATTGGGTAGATATAAGTTTGTACATTGTTGGAACTAGTTTTTTCTTTTTATTATGATGTCACATCCAAGACGATCATGGTTTTCACTGTTTTTATTGCCATCTACAAATTATCTTGAATTGCTATCTGGCTATTAGAATAAAAATAACAAAAGCATTTCTTGTGAGAAAGCTCATCAGCTTCTAGGAAACCAGTGATTTAGAAGTCGCCCACAAATTTCTGTATAGTCTTCACTACTTTAAGCTTTAAAAAGCTTTTTCAAAGAATAATATGAAGTTTATAAAAGCAAAACTATTTTTAAGGTTTTCTTTTATTTCCTGTATTTATGAAAAATCTTAACAGGAAATTGAAACTGTTTGTAACAGATTTTCTCATTCATGTTCATATTCTTTAAAAAAATAATTATTAGTATTAATACAATATTGATTAGCTTAACACTGACATTTTTTTATAGATTTCATATTTATTAAAAATATATTAACATGAAAGTTTGCAAAATAGCTCACAAAACTTCATGTTACTATAAGTGCCATAAATGATACACACTTGGGCAATTATGTCTCTTTAAAGTCATGAATGATTAGGCAGGTTTGTTTCATTCTGTAAAAAACAAAAAAAATGGTCAGTCAATTTTAATTTATTATTAGTATAAATACAATACTCATTAGGTTGATACTGACCATTTTTACAGATCTTTATTTAAAAAAAAAGAGATATTAACCTTTAGCACTCTGCATTATTAATATTACTTCCTTTTCTTCTGTATTCTTTTTTCAAGACATCTTAATTGCAGTATCTTTATTTTTAATTTTACTCAAAGTTGTTTTCTGTTGCCATAGCAGGATATGGCTACACAACTATAAAATTCAAATATGCTGTTGTTCAGGGATCAGTGTCACCTTCAGTGGCAGATTAAACTTTTTGTACAGCAAATGAAGTCACATACAGAGTGATAAAAGTTAACATGAAAATATATAATTTAAACTTTCAAAAGAATTCTTTGTTTTTTTTCTTTTTTCAGGTGACAGCACTGGAGGAAATTTAGCAGCAGCAGTTGTTCAACGTCTGACAGTGGAGACAGGATTTCCAAGTCTAAAGGCCCAAGTTCTCATCTATCCAACTCTCCAAGCATTTGACTTTATGACTCCATCTATGATCACTCGGGAACTGCCTGGATATCTGACACGGCGAACAATTATAGAAAACTGGCTGTTATATTACCAAGGAAACAACAAAGATATGGAGAATTTTTTGACTAACAATCACACTGGGCCACTCTTAAAGGCTTCTGAATATGGAGATTCTGTTGATCATAATTTACTCCCTGAGGAATTCCAGAAACAGCTGACTGAGAAACCACAGAAGAATTTTGGTGATGAAAAACTGTCAGATGCTTTTGAGCCAACCCTTCTGAATCCATATTTTAGTCCCCTTTTAGCTCAGCAACTAGACAAATTGCCACCAACGTTTATGATCACAGCTGAGTATGATGTGCTTCGAGATGATGGATTTATGTATGCGAAAAGACTTGAACAAGCCGGAGTAACAGTTGAACACAAACATTTTGAGAATTCATTTCATGGTTTCATTTGTTATTTGGGAACACCTTCTCAGCAAGAAGGTTTAGTAATGTTACGCACATTTCTGCACAAAGTTCTGAAGTAAATCATTTCAACCTTTTAGACTGGGAAGTCTGGTTTTTATTTTTTTATTTACAAATTGTGGAAAATTTTCAAAGGAAATTTTATATTTGTATAATGCATAATTTTTTCTTCAATGAATATTTGAAGCACAAATTCTAGCTATTTTTAATCATTTCACTCCAAGCAAGGCGATAAAGCCACTAAGACGCAAGTGGTTGCTGAAAGTGAAGGAAACTAAGAAAATGTTATTCAATAGAAGGGACAATAAAAAAACAGGATTCAAAAAGATAGATGATGACATTTGATGTTGCATTTAAATTTTCTGTAGATTGTAGTTGACAGGAAAGCAAAAGGTCAGAAGGAGAGTTCCAACAGTGAGAAGTATGAGAGAAGAAACTGTTAACATAGAATTTATATTTACACTGAGTAATTTCAGCAATAAAATGATTGGACCTAACTGGCATTATTGTGTGGTACTTAAATTCTAGATTATTATAAATTATTCAAATGATGAAGTAAACAAATTCTTAATAATTTTAAGTTGTCTGAAAAACAACTTGAGCATTTTGATAAGAAAAAGGACAGAAGAAAAAAACTAGTCAAAAATTAATGACATGGTTGCATTGAAGAAATTCACACAACATAAAATTATTTTTTGTTATTACTACTAGCTGTAAATAAACAACATTGTATAGAGTAAATAAAAATGGAAGTGATGCAACTAAATTTAAATTACACTTGCAGTTGAATGTTAGTAGCCCAATTTGAGAGGTCACATCCATGTCAAACAAGCTCATAATGAAATGGAATATCAAGTTCAAATCTCATCATAAGCTACTTCTTTATTTCTGATCCTTGTTGCTTACTTTACATTTGTAAAATATAAGAATAAGAATTTTGTGATAAAAAACAGAAAAAATTAACAGCAAGTCAAAAAAAATTTAATAAATTCTTGTCTTCCATATTTCATGAAGATCAATGAAAGATTTTGAAATAGATTTTATAAAACTTGTTATTCAATAAGCAGCAATTTTTATTGATGTTAGATACCAGTCAAATGTTCTGAGTAAATAAAATGTTCTTTTAAAAGTGTAAGAAAGCTTTTGGCTCCTTGAAAAAAAAAATTTGTATTATCAGGCAAGCTTATTTTGCTACTTTGCTACTTTCAGTCAAATTTTTTTTATAATCTTGGTAAAATTTTATAAATTTCATAAAATAAGTTAAAAAGGTTGAATCAAAAAATGCTCACAAGTTATTAAAATCCTCATACAAAACTTGGTATTGAGAGTGGAAATGATCTCACCAAGTACATAACAATCAAAATTGATGTATTCATTGGTAACGCCACATATCTGACACCTGCAGAAGCTATCAAATTCAGTACCTTCTTTTGTATAGCATGAAATTGAGTAAATATGTCAAGGTATAAAGATTATTAAAATGTAATCTTACTTAGACTGGATTAAGTAGCCATGATTAAGCATAATTGACAACATTCCCAATAAGATAAAGAACAGGATAAGATAGTACTAAGCAAACAAAACACATGCACAACAACCTACTTGTATGCACATTTGCACAGACAGGCATGAATATGTGGTGTTTGTGAAGAGTGTATATTCGTTGGTAATTGTTGCTTGTATAAGAAGGTAGGTAAGCAGTAGCAGTCACTTATGGACAGCTGCTAGTTTGGCCTAAAGGTTCAACAAGCAATCAAATTGAGGTCACCATAACATAAACAAACAAAATATGAAAGAGAAGGGTATATCAGAAACACTTTATATTTAAATACACATCAATGATAAGTATAATGTTTCTTGATTAACACGCACAAAGTCCGTTATTAAAATGTTCATTCAAAGAAAAGAAATCAGATTATGAAAGGAATTAAAGTGTCATTTTGTGAATACTTAAGTTTAGGCATGCAGGTCCCAGGAGATGAAAGGTGAGGTCAATGGGTTGGTATGTGTCATTTGATATCTCCGTTGGTGACGGAAAACTGGAGGCGTCGGGTTGATGGGTGAGAAAAGCGTAGCGACATTCTATGACGGTAACTTCAAGGCTTTCTGACCAGAAGTGAATTCATCGTTCTATTTATGTGTGTCCATCAGATCTGAGTCAGTCTGCTGAAACAAACTGTTGGATATGGCGCGGGGCCGTTTAATTGGTGGAAATTGCTTATTATATTCTTTTTATTTCTTTTTGATTTTCCGCCGGAACTTATGCGTCGAGCCTGGTGCGCAAAGACCAGTATTGGTCATTTGCTATCTAGACCTCTGAGGGTTAACATCCGGTCCTTCGCTTGCTCAGTACCACCACAAATACACATCTGCAGAGATGGGAGCATGACTGCATATGCACACACACACAAAATACAAAAAAAAAAAAAAAAAACCTTCACCAATATTAAATATATAAAAAGGAAAAAATGGGAAAAATATAAGCAATAAATTGCTGATGCCCTTTGGAGTTAGAATGCTGAAGGTAACATCAATCAGCATTTGTCAGCTTCTCCGCCCCTGACTTGTGGTGTTTGGTCAGGGTTCCTCACCATTCGGATCGTATGGCTGTCAGGCTCTCCTAGGACTCTGTGTTGATGTCCACAGCTGTCATGACACATCTCATGACATCACGGTACTGCAGCTGTGGCCACCCAGCGAGTCTCCTTCCAATGGCCAGCTCTACATTGGAGGTCTTTGGGAGATGCAACAATCTAGTATGTGATGGACGTGGCCTGACCAATGGAGTCTGAACAGTGTGAACATGCTGGGCAAACCTGCTTGAGACAGGACCTCGGTGTTGGACACCTTATCTTGCCATGCTATTCCCAGGATGTGGAAGATGCTTCTCATGTGAAAGGTGTTCAGATGCCTTTCTTGCCTGGCGTACATGGTCCAAGCCTCACTGCCATATAGCAGTGTGCTGGTAATGCAAGCATTGTACACTATCTATATATATATATATATATATATATATTGCACAAAGTGGAAAACATTTTTTCATGTGATACACATGGAGGAGAGGAAATGCTGAAATTTTAAATTCCTTCTCCCCCCCAATATGTTTGGGTATATAGTCTAGGTAATTTAATTTAATTTCTTTTTCTTTTGGTTTATGTTTTTTATCCCTTTTTTTTTTTTTTTTTTTTTAAGTATCTCGCATCATGATAATGGAAGATCTGCCAAGTAAGATGAAATATTGTAAGAACCTGGACGCAAATTTACTGTGGATGATTTACCAATTAAAGCACTTTCAGATTTGCAAATTGCTTTCTCCTTTAGCATTCTTTAAAACCAAAATTACAGTCAAACTCATTATGATGAGCAACTAATTGAATGTGCTGTTTTGTAAAAGATCCCTTTTGTGTTTATATAATCTTTTATTTAAATTCTTTGATGTTTCTATGTATCCCTTAAAGCAATTATTATAGACTATGGAGTAAATCCCTGCTTCTAGTTTTAGCTTATTATTTTGTGTGTGCTGTTTTGTAAAAGACCCCCTCAAAAAGTTTTTCCCACTTTATCATTGATTTTCTTAACATTGTCCTGGTACATTAAAATTTATAAATCTTTTTCCCATAACCTAATACAAGTCAAAAAACAAAGTGACCATAATAAAGCAAAAAAACTTCACAAAGTAGTATACAAAAGGAATACAGTCATGTGATTATAGTATTCTACCTTGATTTTGATTCTTAAAGAACAAAATCAGTTGATGAGAGTGTGTTGGAATGCATCACGAAAAAATAAATGACTTCGTCTCTTTCTCTCCTGCTGTGTAGCGACGGACACAGTCTCCACTTCTGAGATTGAAAAACTTCCCTCCTTCTCATTCCAGCCCTTTACATAGAGCTTGGTAACTCACCTATGCAAAACACCAACAAGCCAGCTACCAATCTCAGTTCCCGCGCCTGCCCCCCTCCACTCGCTTTGGGGTTTTCAAGTTGACTGACCAACTCATTACACACCCCCTGATCTTAAGATCACAAACCTTCTCAGTTCAAGAGATGGTCGCGTCTGTCTGGTGACTGCATCCGCATATATACAACTTGCACGCTTGACATATTGGGATAACCACACATGCACAAACTCGTTTGCTCCGAGGTTGCAGATCTCCAGATTCTCACCCCCATGAAATTCATTGTGTCATATGCAAAATCACAACTCCCATAATGCCAATTAAGTACAACACATAGTGTTCATTCTTGTTCAGTTGCAGTGCAACATTGCTACAAATAAAACTGGCCTCAAGGCCAATTCTATTTGTAGCAAAAAAATTTTCCACCAAGCATGCACACCATGTAGTCTTCAATAAGCTTGAACAACAGGTGTACATCACTACAGTGAAAGACGTGCCCTATAGACTCACCACAATGCACACATTCTGATGTAATTGCCAGCACAAATGCATCAATCCTTTGCTGACCCAGTGAGTATTTCACAATAGCAGCCAGGTGAGTGATACCTCATCATTATTCATACCCAGGCAGGCACCCAAGGTCAAAGAAAGCAATACTCCTGTCTCATCAAACCGAACTCAAGCAAGATCATCACAGAGCCCCCTACCCCCACTAACAGATGATATACCTTCTGAAACAGAGTCCTTCTGTAAACTGTAAGAAGAACTTTAGAGTGTGCTAACACTCACAAAAGAAGTAGCTCTGGGTAAATGGCAGGTCTCCCCCTCACCTCTGCACTTAAAGACAGAAATGCTTTCTTAGCATCTTTTTAGAAGTCGCAATTGCCCTCGTTTTGTGAACACATTAGATCCAGGAAATAGAGCCATGACATATATTGATGTGTCTTAACACTAGGCATTCCTTTACCACTTCCAGATGGTGGGATTAACAAACCTAGCAATACCCCTGAGGAGCCTGGCTGTCCCTATAAGACGCAAATTAATTTCATTGGTTTGGCACACACACGTGGAAGCATGGTTAGTTGGTAAAGAATCATGTGGTAGATGTGCAAAGCATAAACTTCTGCACTTCTCTTTGAAGAAAGATTACCCACAACCACAAAC